TTAAAAATCAAATCAGGTTCAGATTTGAGTTTTCTCTCAGTTTAAACAAAATTTGCAGATTCCCATTTGTTAGTATTTTGAAATATACAGTTCTGACAGGAATATACATAAATGTATTTTTTCAAGGGAAATTTTCAAAATAAACATGTTTGTATATAAACTGATTCTCTGTGTGATGTGTTTAATCCTTCAGGACTCTTAACATTTCTCTGCACAAACCACATCACCTAAAAACTAACCTCACGTAATACAATCATTTACGTAACTTTTAAAACCACCTGAAACATCTGCTTAATTTTGTGACATTTACCAAATATTAATGAAATGAAACATCTGGGAAGACAAAAGTGACATTAAATTTATTTGTCAAAACTCTTCATGGGTTTATTAGTTGTCCTCCATTAAGGAAACAAATGTAATGAAATGTAATAATGAAGTAAATTTAGTGTAAGTTGGAAAAATAATTAAGTTCTTTTAATTGATGAATAGATGGTAATTAGTCCATGTTCATGTAACAGACTCTGGCTGAATATGTAGTTATTTGACATTTATAGTCACTTATTTATCCTGTAAACTGCACAAAATCATCAAGTAAATCACTTAAAGAGAACTAAACTTCACTTAAAAGCAAAAACTTGAGTTTTATTTTGGCAAAGGCGATGGGCATACAAATTTAAATGGTTGTATTTTAATATTTATGTTATTATTTAGTATTCCATTATTTATATATATCTCTAAATATTGCCAAAATTACACCAATCACAACCGCTTAAAATTTAAAAGTTGTCTTCTTTGGCTGTTTCTTTAAGTCTAATGACTAATTTATAGTGGAGGGAGAGGGTCAGAAAATGAAACAATAAACAAACAAACAAAAAAGTTACACCCCAGCCACCTCCTCTCTCTGATCAGTAAAGAACAGTCCCTAATGCAAAAAACTGACACTGAGAAAATTAATTGACTCCTGATTCACAGGGTGTAAACAGCAATAAATACATAAATAAATAGCAGTATTTTAGTTTATATTATTTTTTATTTTGTTGTTTAATTGTCTCATCTTTCATACATAACAATAAAAACCAAATTTTACTTGAATTTATCAGTGATATTTTCTGTGATATTCTTCAAGGGGTTTACATGTTTGTTGTATAGAAACCAGTTTCGTGTGTCTGCAGCGACCCCGCGTGGCCGCTACTGAGAAGACAGAAACCTGGAAACACTTGAAAGAACCACAGGGAAAAAAATCATTCATACAGATCGTCGTCATTAAGATTATAGTAGAAGTATGATCCAAAAATATACAGATATATATACCGGTATTTGTCATTAAGCAGAGGTGGCGGGTCATCACGCCATTTTGAACAGGCGCTGCGGGGACAGCTGTCGGCAGGGGTCCTTTCCATCGTCAACACCGGAACTACACGTGAACAGAAGGTGAAACCGCAAGATAATGTTTAATACAGTGTTTTAAATTCGATATCGTGTTATTGTTTTACGTGTGGTATTTAGTATTAATGTGTATGTATTTAACCCAGAGGCAAACACCGACCTAACGTTAGACATTAAGCTCAGACAGCCATGAAATACGCCGTTTCTCACGCACCCCACGCCAAACCCCGTTTAAAAAGAGACTAAGACTAGGTTTACCGGTCTACAGCACCATAACAGTGTTAATTAAATTAGGATCAAAACATTTTTATATTTATTAAAAGGCGCTGTTCAGTTCGGCTATCATAGAATACATCATACACCACTCATATTTGTAAAACCTTGATTTTAGTTGGTACACAGTCGTTTATAACAGTGTAATTTGGCTGTAACAGGCGAACTGGTAGTGATAGCGGACCCTGGTGATGCTTTAAAATATTTGGTAAGGTTAAACTACTATTTGCATTAACCAATAAACTATCAATATAATAATAATTCACATTAATAGAATTAAAATAATGGTAATTATATATAAGTAAGTGATCCAGCAGAGTAACCACAGCATGATTCCACTGAAAGAAACCAGTGTAAATGTGGCTGGTGGTGTGTTACTGGATCCGTGTGTGTGTTTTCCATCAGAGGGGTCAGAGGTCAGGATGGGTCGCTCCTCAAAAGACAAGAGGGACATTTACTACCGTCTGGCCAAAGAGGAGGGCTGGAGAGCGAGGAGCGCCTTCAAGCTGCTGCAGCTCGATCAGGAGTTCAACCTGTTCTCAGGTGAGACACACACAGGACACCTGAGACGATGGGCTCCAGACCAACAGGTTACACTTACATCAGAGCCCCAGAGGAGGGTACACCTGAGTCTGGTTCTGTCTTTACTCTTCTTCTGTCTTCATTAAATGTCTGATTTGCCAGATATTAATTCGTCAAGATTTTTTTCTCCCTGTCAGGTGTGAACAGAGCAGTTGATCTGTGTGCAGCTCCTGGCAGCTGGAGTCAGGTCCTCAGTCGGAAACTCAGGTCTTGTTTTGTTTTGTTGCTTTTTGACATACACTCACCTGGCCAGAAATTAAATGGATTTTAATAACTATTTCATTGTTATGTTTTTCCACTCAGAGGGCAGGAGGAGAAGGCTGAGAAGGCTGAGGGGGGTGAGGAGGTGAAGATCGTGGCGGTGGACCTGCAGGCCATGGCTCCTCTGCCGGGAGTCACTCAGATCCAGGGAGACATCACCAAGGTGAGGACACGACAAATAAACATGTAAACATGTTCTTCTTTTATTTCACGCTTGAGTTTCACGATCCTGGAACTATATCGGGCGCTGCTTAGGAGCCGATACTGAATCCAAGTTCTAGTTATCCTTGAAAATGTATTATTTATTTATTCAATGAAAATTTCAGTCGTCCTTGAGGAGGTTCTGTGGGTTACTGAGGAGTATTTATCCTTTCTATGTTCTAGAAGAAAAAATGTTCTAGTCCTATGGGTATTTGATGAGGTTCTGCTTATCCTTGTAAAGGTACCTGTGGTACACAAGGATAAGTAGAAGTATCTCTGAAAAGGCCTTTGAGGAGGTTCTATTTGTTTTTAAGAGGTTCTGTGGGTCCTTGATGAGGTTTCAGTGGTCCTTGAGGAGGTTCTGTGAGGCCTTGAGCAGTTTCTGTGAGTCTGGACAAGGTTCTACTTATCCTTGTAAAGATCCCAGTGGTCCTTGAGGAGGTTCTGTTATTCTTTAGATCATTGAGGAGTTTCTGGTTATCACTGAAAAAGGTTCTAGTGGTTCCTCAAAGTTTCAGTGGTCTGAGAAGAGGTTCCCTTGGTTTTTAGAGGCTTTGAGGAGTTTCTATGAGTCCTTAAAAAAGCTCTATGTGTCTTCACAGTTCAATGAGTCTTAACAAGGATCAAGATATCCTTGTAAATGTGGCTGTGGTCCTTGTAAGTGTTCCGGTGGTCCTTAAGGAGGTTCTGTTGGTTTTCAGATCTTTATGGAGTTTCTGGTCATTATTAAAAGGTTCTAGTGGTTCCTGTTACAGTTTTCATGGTCTTTGAGGAGAATCTATTGGTTTTAAGAGGATCTGTGGGCCCTTGATGAGGTCCCAGTGGTCCTTGAGGCGTTTCTATGAGTCCTTGACAAGGTTCTAGTTATCCTAGCAAAGGTTCCTGTGGTCCTTGATGAGGCTCTGTTGGTTTTAAGATCCTTGAGGAGTTTCAAGTTAGCCTTAAAAAGGTTCTAGTGGTCCTCAAGGAGGTTCAAGGACCCATTGAACCCAGAGAACAAATACAACAACAATAACAATAACCACCACCATGTCACATGTGTGTCTTCTTCTTCTTCTTCTTCTTCCTGTCAGGTGTCGACAGCTCAGGAAATCATCCGTCACTTTGAGGGTCAGCCGGCCGACCTGGTGGTGTGTGACGGAGCTCCAGATGGTGAGACGCTCACTTCCTGTCCATCCTCACCTGTTCTTAAAGGTTTTTATTATTCAGCTCTCTGGAGTGATTTTCTGTCTGTTTCCATAGTAACCGGGCTCCATGACGTGGACGAGTACATCCAGGCTCAGCTTCTATTGGCTGTGAGTACAGAGGTGTGTTTGTGTTCACCTGTCGGTCTGTGAGGTCATTCTGACACCTGTTTGTCTCTCAGGCTCTGAACATCACGACTCACGTCCTCAAACCTGGAGGGACGTTTGTGGCCAAGGTGAGTCCAGCTGTTGTCCACATGATTTATTAATAACTCCCCTCTGATGCAGAGATAAATGTGAAGCTGCAGCCTGTTAGCGTAGCTTAGCACAAAGAGTGGAAACAAAGGGAAACAGCTAGCCTGTTTGACGCAAACAAAGTCCACCTACCAACTACATGCTGTGGTGCATTGTGGGTCGTGGACACTGTTTGGGACTGTATGAACCCCTCATTGTCCTGTGTGTCTCAGATCTTCAGAGGTAAAGATGTGACCCTGCTGTACTCTCAGCTGAAGATCTTCTTCAGTGGTGTGACCTGCGCCAAGCCTCGCAGCAGCAGGAACTCCAGCATCGGTGAGCCCCCTCGCTGACCAATCACACGGCTCAAACGGGAGACAAACCCCGCCCCTAGCTGCTGTAGTGATTGTTTATACACCTGAGACTGTTTTGCACAGAATGTTTGACAAAATAATCCTAAAAACTGATTTAATCGTGTTGAATTTGTGGTGTTTGCATGAACTCTGCTGACAAACTGTACTTACTGTATCTGTGTGTGTGTCTGTGTGCAGAGGCCTTCGTGGTGTGTCAGAATTACTCTCCTCCTGAAGGTTACGTCCCCAACATGTCCAACCCTCTGCTGGATCATTCCTACGGTAACTCAGAGCTCTTTTATATATGTGATCTGCATCAGGAAAAACACAACAGAGTAAAATCACAAGGGAACATAGAAGCAGCATCAAGTCCGTTCACCTGAGATGTGGCAACTGACACGGTTCTGCTTAACTAATATTTATGTTTCAAAAGTTCTGTTGTATTCATGCAAACAAGTGTGTCATATTCTAGAAAAAGAGTAAGAGAAGCATAAACTAAAATTACTGCCTCACGACTGTACGCCTCTGCAAACCAGTCACGTTACAGTTTACATCCATGTCTGTCCAGACTCATATGTAGACGTGACAGCTGACGATGCCTCAAATATGCTGCTGCAAAGAAGCTACAAATTCTAAAACGTGAATGCTTCTCACACATCTTCAACTGGACAGCAGAGAAGATCTGTGCAATCAGCACAGTTTCAAGGTGGACACCCAAGAGGAGTGTCACCAATTCAGAATCTGACCAGATGTCTCCCCTTCTGTCCCAGTGACAGTGAAGTTGACCTTTGACCTTTTGGATATAAAATGTCATTGATTCGTCATTTTATCCTGTTAGACACTTGTGTGATATTTCGCTATAATAATTTAGCTTTTGACCACTAAAATCGAATCAGTTCATTGCTGAGTCAAAGTGGACGTTTGTGCCAAATTTGAGAACATTCCCTTAAGGCCTTATTGAGATACTGTGTTCATGAGAATGAAACAGATACAAGGTCACATATGACTTTTACCTTTGATCACCAAAACCTTATCAGTTCATCGTTGAGTCAAAGTGGATGTTTGTGCCAAATTTGAAGAAATATCCTAAAGGTGTTCTTGAAATATCGCATTTACTGTACAAGAATGCGACAGATGGGGTCACAGTGACCTTGACCTTTGACCACCAAACTCTGGTCAGAGCATCTTTGAGTCAAGGTGGATGTTTGTGCCAAATTTGAAGAAATTCTCTTAAGCTGTTCTTGAGATATCATGTTCACGAGAATGAGACGAACCGAAAACATAATGCCTCTGGTCATGGCTGTCGCTGGCACGGAGGCATAAAAATATATAAACTCTTTGATTTGTAATCCTTATTATTTTTAAAGTAATACTTTAAAGTGGACGTCTAAGGGAGAGGTTAAGACATAATATCAGCGTGTATATTGTTTTGGCTAAAGTAACCTTGCTGATCAGGGACGCCTGTGGCCACATGTGGTAATTAATGTTTAATGCCAAATGCTGAAACAAAGTGAAGAATCATAAAGTCATTGATGTCAGAGACACAACACTACCTGCATTATATACAGCATTAACAGTGTGTTTTATATCTTCTGACTCTCATTTGTAAAAGGAAGAATGTGTCATATCTTATTTCAGAGGTTACATACCGTTAGTCTCTGTTGGATCAGTCTTTAGTGTACCTGCATGTCCTGGTTCTGGTCTCAGTTCGTTCTGGTCTTTGTCCTGCAGATGTGGACTTTAACCAGTTAGAGGGTCCGAACCGCGTCATCGTCCCCTTTCTGGCGTGTGGTGACCTCAGCGCCTTCGACTCAGACAGGACCTACCCTCTGCAGGTGAGGAGACACGGGTTTATCTTTACTGAGTAAATCCAACCAACAGAATTTTTTTTTTCTTCAGTAAAACAAGTCTGGTTCAGTATTTATTAAAATAATTTTACCAGTTATTCCATTTTCAGTTTGATTGTTCCTGCTATGGTTATTGTGCTTTATTTATTTTCACTATGAAACTGAATCCAGTTTTTGTAATTTAAAAATTCACAGATTCTCTAAATTTAACAAATGATATAATTAAGGCATTTAATGGGATTTTAATGGGATAATTAATTAATAAAAAAAAAATGATTGTAATATATTAAGGTATTTTTGATGGATTATCTGTACACTTTACAGTTTTTAAGGGGGAGAAACCCCTCAAAATGTAACAAATAACACAACTACCACCGTTAAGTAGTACTTTAAATACACCTTAATTTTTCAGTTAAGGTGAAAATAAAAAACCTTAAAATTGTGCAGATAGCCTATTAAAAAAATCTATTTTATCTATAATTTAAATAATTATAATAATTTATCTGTTATAATAAATATTAATGTATGATTTAATAATGTATCTGTTAATTAACACCAAATGCTGCAGCCATGTCTGAAATGGACTTAAGAATCCCTTAAAACAATATTTGTCAAATACTTCTAATTAATGTGTGAATTAAGGAAAAGTTAAAATCTACTTTTTTTAAATTAAGGTGTTTTTTTTTCGGGGTTTTGTCCCTCAAATTAATGGACAAAATAAAGGATTTCTGACTTCCAATTCCCTTGGTGTAGATTAAGGTGTTTGGTGTGTTTTTAGGGGTAAATTACGGATTAATTAAGGGTATTTTAAGGGATCTCACACCTGTCGACGGTTTTCTTTCTTCAGCTGGACGCTGGTAAACAGTACCAGTACACGCCCCCCACGCAGCCGCCCATACGCCCCCCCTACCAGCAGGCCTGCCACCTCCGCAAAAACAACCTGCTGTCCAGAGAGGACGCTCTGTCCAACCGTCCCAACCAGAGTCAAGACGAGACGGATCCACCGGCCGAGTCCACCTGATCTGTCTGACTGCTGCTGATTGGTGGAAAAGGAAAAGAGTTATCATTGAAAGGAACAGAGCAGCAGTTTCTTTTCTGTCGATAAGAAGATGGAAATAAGTTTAGTTTCTGTGTGTACAGAGCAGAGGTAAGACTTGTCTCTGGTCTTGGTGCTAAACTAGACTGAACATGCTCTGGACGACCGCTGCACTGGATGTTTTCCAATAAGAGGAGTGTGTTTTCAGTTTTTCCTAATTTTAAGGGGAATATTTTGTGTCAGATTCTTCATCCATCAGGCTGAGGAACTGCAAACATTTTTATATTTTAAAAATAAAAGTCATTTCTTGGAGGCAAACGAACATCGTGGTTGACAGGAATTGTTTTATAAAAGTGATTGAACTCTCAATTTTGTCTTTTTCTGTAAACAGTGTCCAGTTTTATTTAAATAATAAAAAACAGATGAAACCACACATTGTGCCGCCCTCTGGTGTTTAAAGGAACAGCGCATCAGAATTATGGAGATTTTGTGGCATCGAGCAGTGAGATTACAACCAGCTGAAACTTCTCCTGGTTAGAATTTCATTATTCAGGAGGTTTTTATCAGGAGCTGAATTATCCGCAGAGATCTCTTTCTCTCTGAAACAAACAGACCAGCTGATTTAAACAGCTAAAAACACTGAATACAGCAGTTTCACATGAAAACAATCAGTGTTTTTCCAACAAAGCTTGTTGTGGAGGGGCCGCTGAGCTACTGATCATGTGTACATTTTCTTTCTTACCAAAATGTAACTGCCTGGATTAAACAAAATAAAACAGGTTTTAAGAGGCCATTGATCCCATCAAAGCTCTCATGTGTGCTTCCATATCTTCTAAACGTCGTATGAACAGCTATTCAACTTCTTTAAAGAACATCTCTCGGCTCAGGTTTCGTAAAGATTGTCAAGCATGTAGCAGCACGTACCAAACTGGAAAGGCCCTCAGCTTTACTAATAGTAGGACTTGTACTCAGGGGTGGAATGGAACAAAGTACATTGACTCAAATGTATATAGTATATAAAGGAGTTGTGACTTACTAGTGTGTACGGCCCCTGTGTGTGGGGGAACGAGAGGGCCAGTCAGTGGCATCAAAGCCTTCATCATCCAGGAATTGCCTACACACTCTGGACACATGAGGCCGGGCATTTGTCCTGTACCAGGAGGAACCCAGGGCCCTCTGCACCAGAAGGAACACAGGGCCCTCTGACAGTGTGGTCAGAAACATGCACACCAGTAGCCTGCTGGAGGTCATGTTGTAGGGCTCTGGCAGTGCTCCTCCTGTTCCTCCTCACACAAAGGAGCAGATACCGGTCCTGCTGCAGGGTTGATGCCCTTCTACGGCCCTGTCCAGCTCTCCTGGTGTAACGGCTGGTCTCCTGTGCCATCCTGGAGGAGCTGGACTACCTGTGTGACCTGATTGGGCTGCAGGTACGGCCTCATGCTACCAGTAGTGACAAGGACACTAGCAGAAGACCAAACTAGAGAAGACAATCACTTGTGCTTCCTACATGGACACATTGATATCCCTGAAGTTTAACTGACTTCCTGTTAGACTGTGATTATTAAGTGTCCCCGTCATGTTTTGGGCAGTGTGCTTCAGGCTCTGAGTACTTCCTCCTCCGCTGCTTGTACTGTCGATGCCCCCCCCCCCCCCCCCCCACCCGTTTGTACGCGGTGACGTCATGACGCAAGGACTCACACAACCGCATTGTTGTTGGGGGAAGAGAAGCTCGGGCAGCCGCTGAGCTCTGCCGCTTCTAACTGCTAATAAACAGTCCTTATTGATCAGTAATTACCCTGATCAACGTAATAACACTCAGAAACCGGCTCCGTCGCCCTGGATACCTGTCGGTCACTACCAGGTTTGACTCGGTTCAGCGCGAGCCGCGGCCGCCGTTGGATGAGCGGACTGAATGTGGATTTAACTACCGCTTCGCTCCGCAGGCCGCGCCGCCATTGCTGCCGTTTTTACAAGCTGAATTCGTGAAAATACCGAGGTAAGTTCAACCCCACTCTGTCCTCGCCTATTTAATATCAGCCCCCTTCAGTTTGGGCCGGTTGAAATCCAAAACCAGGCGACGCTGCCCTGAGGAAAAGTCACCTTTTCCAATCGAGGCAGTTTCTTGTTGTGTTGGTCGCCATATTTCCTCCCCCCGTCAGTTAGGTGTAATGCTAGCAAGCTAACGTTAGCCCGGTTTGTGGACGGAGTGTCCTAATGTGTTTAACCGGCCACCGGAGAGTCCGCCGTGTGATGGGAACACACCGCCGGGTCGTCTTTTGTTGTATCAGACCCGTGTTTGGTAAATCACGTCAAAGCTGGGTCGATTAATAACACAAACCGACGTTGTGGTTCGGTTAATTGAAGCTAACGGTAGCTGGTGGCTAGCAGACACCGTTCAACAGAGAGAACCGAGCTGCAGCTGCTGTCGGCCAGCGATACCCAACAACAAGCAGCTCTCAGCGGCTTCAGCCAGGCCAGCTGAGCCCACCGTAGGCTGGCTGTGGTCGGTGTGGAGGTGTGCTGCTCACCGTACATTGTTTCATTCATCCAGTGAACGTTTTCTCAGTCGGTCTGTTTCCGCCCCCTTTACTGGAACTCCATTCAGCAGCCAACTGAAAACAGGATCTCATGAATGAAAGCTGCACAAACAGACACCGGAGCTTCACTTAAAGCTGCGAGCTGAACTGCAGGTTACAGCTGGAGTCGCATTTTGTTGTCGTGTTGGTGGCACAACAAAGCAGGGTTTGAAACAATTAAGGAATACGAACACTTGTTTGTTGACGATGTGAAACATTTCCTTTGTTTTCACCATAACACACATAAAGACACATAAAACTGTGCATTCACCACATCCCATAAGAAAACACACACACAAGACAACATAAAGCCATAAAAGTGGAAATACAAAACCTTATAAATAGTTTTGGCAGTACACATTAATGAAAAATAAAACTCACAACATACAAGTCAGTACACACAGTGTCCATGAAATGCAATGGACCTACTGTGCAAAGAGCTGCAGCAAAGTATCAGGAGCATCACCCTGTGTCACTGTCCTATGTGTGGATCCTAGCTTTATATATTACCTTAACATCACTATTAAGCAGGATTTATACTTGTGCAGCAGACCCTACGCCCTAGCCTGTGTCACTCTGCAGTCGCACCTCCAAAACACTAGTCATCAGCAGGGTTTCTGTGAAGTGCTGTAAGGTATGGTGATTCAAAACACACATTAAACACACATTAAACATGGCTTAATAGAGACAATTTCAAACACAAGTACACAAATCAGCTTCACTATAACTCGCAGCATTCACAGACAAACACTTGCCTTTATCTGGACACATTTTCCACACAAGTTCAACATGCTAATGTTATTAGCACAAGCCTATGGCAGTTTACATTGTATAAATTAGCCTAGCGGTTAGCAAACATTTCCTCTCCTCACATGAAGCCAGGGACAACAGCAACATTTAACAAAGGTTACGTTACAAAATTCGACTCTATCACAACCCACAAGGTTCACTGACAAAACAACTGTCTTCTACTAAACACATTTTCCAAACAAATACAACATGCTAACGTTATTAGAACAAGCCAATGGCATTTTACATAGTATAAATTAGCCTAGCAACAAGCAGAGATTTCATATGCTCATATGAAAACAGGATAAATCACACACAAGACTTAAAATGCTATTTTGTGGAGACTTTATTATCTACACAATTAATTGTTTCTAACCTGTGAAATTAAAGTAAATAAAAGCTTTGTTTCCACTGAGGGAAATGGTTTCAGCTTACAAAAATAGACAGGAGGTCTGCGTCGCCATGACGTGTAGTTACATTACTGGGGAGGTGCACGTCAGGCTACAGCGTGAGTTATGGAGAAGGCTCTACATCGACGCAGAGCTTACGCCATAGCTATGGCGTAGATTCAACACAGAAGTATAAATTCTGCTTTAGGGATGCAGGATAATATAGGCATGTCATTGGTGTTGACCAATATCGGCTTTAAAATGAACTATCAGAATTGAGCAACATGCTTTTTCTTAATTAGCTTCCTTATGATTTTGGAGGCCTTGTTCACGATTCTCTGCAGCTTGTTTCTCCTCTCGACGTGCACACATCTTGTTTACAGTTGCTCTCAACTAGAGCTGCAACAATCAGTCAATGAGCTAACTGATTATTCGTTCTATAGAAAATTAATTGGCAGCTATTTTGATAATCAAATAGTCATGTAAGTTATTTTCAGGCAAAACTGCCAAAAATGTGATACTAACAGGTTCTTAAATGTCAGGATTTGCTACTTTCCTTGGTCTTATATTACAGTAAATTTAATATTTTGGGGTCTAAAATGTTGGTTAGACAAGTCAAAACATTTAAAGTCATGTCAGGTACCAGGACTGTTTAACAGGCCTTTGAAAAAGCTGCTTTCTAAGTTTTCATTGACCAGTCAATTGAGAAAATAATCAGATTAATTGGTAACAGACATAACTGTTAGATTCACCCTACTCTCAATATTGTTGTACACAGTTCAGAGAAAATTTGTAACATTACAGGAGGATACAGTCAGTGCTTTGAGATATACTCAGATCTTTAACTTAAAGGCAGAACACCAGCTAATTTAAGAATTCCAACAATTTCTTTTCATGGTCTTGTAAAGATCCCTGAATATTTGTGAACATGATCTGTCCTCTCTCAAAGCCAGAAACCAGAGAAGAAAGTCTCAAACTTGTGATATCACAGGGTTTAAAGTCGGGAGCTGCTCCGTAGACAATGAATGGGGGACTGATTTGGTGGACCCACAGTATATGTGTTTTCTTTTTAACACCCAAATGGATTTGGGGGAGAATTAATCATGTTTCCTCATATTTTTGGTGTGTCTTTGACCACAGTAATAATGTATACATTTTGAAAATGGGCGTAGTTCCCCTACAATTAAAAGTAGCATTACCACCATGCTAAACAGTCATTCAAGTAATAGTCCTGCAAAAGCACATAAGCATCAGCTTCAAAATATACCCTAAATACCAAACGTTACAGTTCCCATTATGCAGAATGCCCTATGGTTTCCATTAACTGTCAGTGTACTCACACACAGTAAAGATAACACATGTACGAGAGGATACAGATACAGAAATACAGATAACCAAAGAGTGAGCAAAACATAAACGAGAGCAGGCAAGAGCCGGAAAACAAACAGAGTAGTTAAGACTAATGATTTTGGCATGAAAGATCAGGGTTTGAGTCCCAGTCAGGGTGGGGCAACATATATCCAGTGTGGACCCTTAGGCAAGTTCTTAACACTGCCATCCTACCTCAGGAAAAGTGAAACCTTAAATGCAAGAGTCATACCAGCTCAGACGTCGTCACAATTAATCTGCTTATTGTTTTTGCTCTACATAAAGCCACGTCTGTTTGTAGAGCTGAAACAATCAACAGATTCATTAAAAATGTTTTTTGACAAAAAAATAATTGGCAGCTATAATGATAATTGAAGCAAGTCAAATTTTAAGCAAAAAAAGCCAAACATTGGATATTTCAAGCTTCTGAAATTTGAGGATTTTGATTTTGATGAGGCAACACTGAAACGTTATTGATGTTTAATACCATGACTGACCATGACCTACATGGTCGGGTATGGAATGACCTATATAGAGGTGCTGTTGGCGAACTGGCTTAACTTCCATTATAGGGGAATATATTGATTATATATTTTTAATGGTTTTGTTTGTTGTTTAGCGGTGGGTATGGAACCTCAAAACCTTTTTGAATACTGACTGAAATTTGTATTTAGCATTCAGTTTTGAAAAATATCAAGTATTGAGAGCTTGGTCCCACCTTGAGTCTTAAAACCAGGAGTTTGTGATTTAAATAAGGAAACTCTTAACTTCACACCATATGATATTTAGCCAAGCTTAACAATAAACATGTTTACAACCCACAAACGAAAGTATTGAAAATAGTTTCAGCATCAGTTCTGAACATCTGGTATCACAGTGGCACAAATATCAAACATTTTCAAACACTACCCAGCCTCAGTGCAGTCAGGTTATTTCTATAATCAGAGTCAGGTATGAGACATAGTTGTACCATGTGAGACGATATTATTGCATTAAAAATAAAGGTATAGTTGGATAGACCTGCAGAACATATTAAATACTGGAACTAAAATGTTTCACGCACAGATAGAAAGTTGGGTATTTTCATGTTTCTGGTGGTCTGTGATTGAACCCTGGAGGAGGTGATGACATACTTGTGTAAACACATTAACTGCCCATCATTGTTCCTGCGGTGCCTCATTGAGGGTTAAGGCTGTTAATCATTACTGCACACACAGTGCTCTGTGTGCTGGCTGTTGATTCACAGAGTTAATGACATGAAAAATTGTATTTGTTGCTGCTTCAATGTCACATAAATGAGTCATTAACAACGTTGTTTGATTTGTCTGGTTTTCAGGGTCTGTACAGCTTCAAGATGAAGAAGAAAAGTCGACATCACCGACCTGCGGCGCTGAAGAGGGATTCGTCTCCCATCAAGCCTTCGCCCAACCGGGAGACTCTGACGTACGCACAGGCTCAGCGGATAGTGGAGCTGGAGGTGGACGGCCGCGTGCACCGGCTCAGCATCTACGACAAGCTGGATGTCATCACTGATGACGACCCCACGGCGCAGGAGATTATGGAGTGCAACAGCAACAAGGAGAACAATGAGAAGCCCCAGCAGGTCCTGGTGCGCTCTGTGCGCCTCAAAAACAACCAGCAGAAGAAGAATGCGGCGCTCATGGCCTCACACGGCAGCAGCGGCACACACGGCAGTACCGGCGGCCTGTTGGAGCCAAAGGTTAGAACGGTTGAATACAACTTGCCGGTGGTGCCGAAGAGGCCGGTGGCATATTACAAATACACAGAGAGGACGGCAGAGGAGCTGGACGAGGAAGTGGAGTACGACATGGATGAGGAGGACTACGCCTGGCTGGAGCTCATCAATGAGAAGAGGAAGAGCGAGGGCGTCAGCCAGGTGTCGCACAACTTGTTTGAGTTCCTCATGGACCGCTTTGAGAAGGAGTCGTACTCAGCCACGCAGGGTCAGAGCGACCTGCAGTCATTGGTGGACGAGGACGCCGTCTGTTGCATCTGCATGGATGGAGACGGAGCCGACAGTAATGTCATCCTCTTCTGCGACTCTTGCAACATCGCCGTGCATCAGGAGTGCTACGGCGTGCCATACATCCCTGAGGGCCAATGGCTATGCCGCCACTGCCTGCAGTGTCCGTCGCGTCCCGCTCAGTGTGTCTTCTGCCCCAACAGAGGCGGAGCCCTGAAGAAGACTGACGATGACCGCTGGGGGCATGTAGCATGTGCTCTGTGGGTGCCTGAGGTCGGCTTCTCTGACACGGTTTTCATCGAGCCCATTGACGGCGTCCGCAATATCCCACCTGCCCGCTGGAAGCTCACCTGCTATTTGTGTAAAGAGAAGGGCGCAGGAGCGTGCATCCAGTGTGACAAGATCAACTGTTACACTGCCTTCCATGTCAGCTGCGCCCAGAAGGCCGGCCTCTACATGAAGATGGAGCCCGTCAAAGAGGTGATGGCGTCCGGCGCCACCACCTTCTCTGTGAAAAAGACCGCCTTCTGCTGCAGCCACACGCCTGAAGGCTGCGACCGCCGGCCGCTCAACATCTACGAGGAGCCGCATCCGAAAAACGGAGCCTGCCACAAGAGGGCCGAAAAGAGGGGGAAGTCCAGGGCCAAGGGCTGGCACAAGAAGAAGAGTAAGAGAGGCGAGCCCGAACCAGAACCAGAGCCTGAGACCCCCACCAACTCTGGACCCAGTATCACCGCTTCAAGGTAGGCAGGCAAACAGGACTCCCAGAATGCATCACTCACATTAATTATTAGCCGATACTCAGTTGACTCAAGTCTGTTTTTCTCTCTCAGTTTAACTTCAGCTGAATAAACTTTCTGATTGTTGGTGGTCTTCACAGGCCCCCCCCCCCCCCCCCCCCCCCCCCCCATTTTTTTAATTATTTTTTTTTAATGAATTTATGTATGGTATGTTCATTAAGTAGAGTCTAGGTAAGAGAACCTTGACAGTTGAATAACTTTACATTAATAAGTTGCAGTTAAGGTTAATTCTGGTTTATTAGAGCTTGGGTCTCATTTGTGTTCCATCAGTCGTAATGACATCGTACTCACCAAGTTAACGTCTGTAACACGGTCTGACAGATCAGGAAACACAAGCAGTCAGATGATCAGAGATTTAACCGATTACTACCTGTTACAGACACAAAGACACAGAAAAAAAACACAAAGCTTGTTAGATAGAAGGTTGTGTTTCTGCTCAGGTTTGAAAGAAATGATGATTATTTTTTGATTAATACCTCCTTTGGTTTCTCTGTGCATCAGCTTTGACACCATCCTGAACCAGGTGGCAGTTCAGAGGAAGCGTGCGTTCGTTGAGCGGGTGCTGAGCTACTGGGTGCAGAAGAGGCAGTCAAGGAATAACGTGCCGCTGATCCGCCGGTTGCAGGCCAACCCTCAGCCGCCCAAAGTCAAGCAAAAGGTCAGAGCTGCTGACGCTCAGAGCAGAGTGTTATCTTTTAATTTCATTCTTGGCGCTGAATTGAAGTTTGTGATTTTTGCAGGACCGCATGGAGACGAACCAGGCGCTGAAGGAGCAGCTGAAGGAGTGGCACCGCCTCCGCCACGACCTGGAGCGAGCTCGCCTGCTCCTGGAGCTCATCAGGAAGAGGGAGAAGCTGAAGAGAGAGGAGGTAGGAGAGTCACACCATAAACACTTAATGCAAAACAGCACACACCAACCTGTCTGTTATATCTGATGCTGTTTACATGTATTGAAACTGTGGGTTAGTGTCAGCACAGAGTTGTCTGACTGTGTGTTCTCCCGTCAGATGAAGCTGCAGCAGTCGGTGCTGGAGGTCCAGCTGACCCCCTTCAACATCCTGCTGAGAGCCGTGCTCAGTCAGCTGCAGGAGAAGGACCAGTACAGTATCTTCGCTCAGCCCGTCTGCGTCAAAGAGGTCAGCAACAATATTTCACTCTGTTGAACAATCTGCTTCCCTGTCCATCAAGTGAAGCTGCTGTGGTCCCATAACGGTCGACTTGTTCCGGTACTAACTACTAACTAAATCTACGTTTGAATACCAGAAAATTACTAAATCGACCAAAATGTTTAGAAAACGTTTTAAATATGGAACAAATGTTAACACTTAATTTGACTGTCAGAACTGTTGCCTGGACACATCACTTCCTGCATGTGTTTTAATGTGAAGGCAGGGGTAGACCTTTATTTTGAAACAGCCAAATGAAGTGCTGACAGTGCTAGCTGTAATGAAAGTAGAGTAGAACAGTTAATTAGTTGTCAACTATGAAATTAATTGACAGTTTGATTATTGGTTAAAAACTAATCCGATTTCCAATTGATCGACACTTTTCACCATTTTCTGGCATTTTCTCAACTAAACAACTAATTTATTAATCGACAGTGTAAATAATCGTTAGGTGCAGCCCTAAATAAAAGTGAATCAGAAAACCTGAGGCCTCAAACGTGTCCTCTCTGTCTCCTGCAGGTTCCAGACTACCTGGACCACATCAAGAACCCCATGGACTTCTCCACCATGAGGAAACGCATCGACGCTCATGACTACAGGAGCCTGGAGGAGTTCGAGGCAGACTTCAACCTCATCATCTTCAACTGCATGAAGTACAACGCCAAGGACACGTTTTTCTACAGGGCAGGTCAGCGGATGCAGGACCACGGAGGAGCCATCCTCCGCAGGGCCCGAAGGGAGGCTGAGAGAATTGGCTTTGACTTCCCCGGTGGGATTCATCTGCCCGAAGCCCCGAAACTGGAGCCGCCGCCGCCCTTCAGCTGGGAGGAAGGTAAGTCGACAGAAAGTCTATCAATGTTTGTGTCGCACATTGTCAACTGAATCTCTGTGTTGGGATATTTGGATGGTCGAGTTATTTTACGCCCCCACCCTGAGGCTTGTTGTCGTCCCCCCACCATATTTGTAGTCCTCTTTTTAACCTAATTAGATCATCTGTAAAAGTGCTGGAGTGATGTTATGGAGATAATACTGATGATGTCATGTGACCATCTGTCTCTCAGTGGACCGGCTGCTGACCCCCACCTATCGCCAGCTGACCCCACTGGAGGATCAGCTGAAGGAGCTGCTGGAGAAGCTGGACCTGAGCACGGCCATGAAGCACAGCCCGTCCCGCAGCAAGAGGCTCAAACTGCTCAAGAAGACCATCATGGAGGTTCGGAGCGAGATTAGCCTGAAGAAGTCCCTCCAAACGCAGCCGCCTGTGGCGACTGAGCCCAGCCCGACCCCTGCAGAGTCAGAGGAGATAGCACTACCTGAACCCCCAGCAGAGCCCTGCACACCACAGGAGGAGAAGCCTTTACCCCCACCAACGTTAGAGCTGTTAACCTCACTGACGCAGCTCGAAACCTCGCACAGCGACTCAGAGCCGCCCCCTCTGAAAGCCGTCAAATCCAGCACGGACCATACTCCCATGGAGCTTGATGGCGACACTGACACATCTACCTCAGCGCCCACAGACGCACCCAACGGGCACCTCCCAGACCCCCTGCTCCCCAACGGCGACCTCCACACAGAAGCCTCTGGCACCTGCAACCGACGGAATAGCGTCCTCTTCCGCAAGTCCAAGAGCACCAGCCCCCAGAAACCACTCAAGACCAAGACGCAAGAGGCACCGGCTGTGACGCTGCCGCCCCTTGGCACCAAAACCTTCCTGTCAGTGGTGATTCCTCGACTGGAGACACTGCTCCTGCCGAAGAAGAGAAGACGCAGCAGCAGCGCTGACGGCGAGGATGATGATGAGGAGTCGCCGATAAAACGCCTCGGTACAGGTACTGTCTGTCATGTTTCAAAATCACAGCAGAAAAAAACCCATAAACTTTGATGTTTAAGTTCTTTATGGTGGTTAAGGTTAAGTACTATAACCCTACACTACGCTGTGACATGTTTCCTGTGGTGTTCTTCAGGAATAGCGAACGGTTTTGTGGTGGAGGAGGAAGAAATCTCACCTTCTCCCCGCCTGCTGGAGCCTCGCCGCCGCTGTGCCTCTGAGTCGAGCATCTCCTCCAGTGGAAGCGTCCTCTGCAGCACGAGGTGAGTTCAGGAGGAAACACCCAGAGTCATGCTGTCGACTGATAATACAAAGTTCAGTCATTCCAGACTTTGAATGTATTTGAATAGTTTTTAGTTTATCATATCTGTCAGCAGCAGTTACGTATCACTGACCCAGTTAATAGCTGAGGTCTGATCTGGGTTCACAGTGACATGATGGAGAAAACTGTGTAAAGAAGTTGGAGGAAAAAATAATTCCTCATGAATATGTTGCTCTAGACTGGAAGGTCTTTACCTGTGATTTGGACCCTGATTTTTTTATTTGATTGATTTGTTTGTAACGATGGCAGCAACACAACGCAGAGCCTTCCACTTTGATTTTGAAATTCCTCTGCAGCCAGTGTGGTTAAAGACGCCCCGCCTTTCCTCTCGTCTCTTTCAGCACCGTCATTGTGTCGAAAAGCGGTAAAGGACGGCTGCCGGCGGCTCGACGGAGCACCGTGGATGACAAAAGCACTCTGATGACCTGCATCGAGAACGGAGAGTTCACCAAAGCTGCCAAGATCTCTTCAGGTGAGCAAAGCGACGTCCGTCTGCTCAGATCTGATGAATGTGCATGAAACGGCATGGCACGCTTTGATTGGTCAGCTCTTCTCTCTGTCTACTGATTTACTAAACTTAATAAAAACTATGTTATTATACTAATACTGTTTATAAGCAAGCATACATTGTTTTATTTATTCCTTCCTTCCCATACTGCTGTTCCACCTGTGTCACCCAAAGAGCAGTGAAGTAAAAAATAAAATCTTACCAAATCAGCAGCTCCTCCCACCTCACTGCTTCTCAGTCTGAGGTCCAGGGGCCTCCGAGCTCCTCGATGAAGTCAGCAGAGACTCAAAGCTGCAGATGTCAGCCGTGAAGGAAGTGATAAATGAACAAAGAGTCCAGAAACAGGAAACCTGTGATGGACAAGGTGGAAGTGAAGTCCGTTATTTTCTGTGTGTGTGTGTTCAGTGAATTATAGAGTCATGTCACGGCCTCTCAACAAACAGTATCCAGACCATTTGTCTTTCAGATGAAGTGGCAGTTTAACTTAAAACCATATTCATACTAAAATCTGACTGGTGCACAGCTGGTCTCTTTAAACAGCCTCATCTGCTGGAACCTTAAAATACAAAATACACGGCATCAGAACTCACGACGATTGAAATAACCTGCTGAATCTGACACGCTGTAGTCCTCAGGAGCTCCTGAAACCAAACACTGAAGATCCACTGTTACATTTAGAAGCTTAAATTATTGATACATGAATGAAAGTTTAACAAATCCTGACATTTATTTATTTATTTAGAGGGCAGTGCACATTAATGAACATTACTGTAAATGTGCCGGTGTTAGCCAAAGGCTATTTTTCAACTGTAGTCCTCCGGCATGATGTTAAAAAGACCTCAGGCCATTAAAAAACACATAAGTCATAATATGTAAAACAAATAACAAACAGATAGATAATAACAGATAGACAACATGAACATGACGTGATCCACAAGAGAGACGACGTCTCACTCTGTTGGATTTGTTGCAACTACATAAACACTCGGTTCAGTTTGGTTACTCACTGAATTAACTAATTAGCGACAGCTGACGATCTGCTGTCGCCGATCATTTTAAACAAGTGAAAGCGACAAATGAGAAGCTGCTAGTTGAACGTTTTGGACACTGATCTGTACTGAGATATATTAAGAAGAGAGGGAGTTTTACTGAATCTCTCTCTGTCTGATCTTTTCACACACTCTAATTTTCACATAAGCACTGAAAGATTCATCATTAAAGAGTAACTAAACCCAAATCCAAACTTTTAAATTATTTAATCATGCGGCTCTTCATGGAATGAATTGTTTTGTGGGGGTTGTGAGATTTAAAAAAAAATTATCCACCGATTCACAGACGTTCTGTCCCAATGTAAGTGAATGGATAAAAGTATTTTTGGGCCGCAGGACATCACATGACGTACTCAGGAGTTGTTATTTCACTGTTTCACTAGGAAAACTGGCTTCAAGGCCTGCCGCACTTTCTGGGGGCCTGGGACAGGGCTGGGAGGGGGTATGAAATGCCGGGCCACTCCTCAGTGGCTGAAAAATAAGATTGCAGTAGCCAGGTTTCAACCAGTAGAAGGCAGTTGCATATTTATAATGCAGCATGTAGAATTCAAATACTTTGCGCTCTAATGTCAAGAAGTAAATCAGGGATCCATGATAACATCAGCACGTCATCCTTATCGGCTGATATCAGCTTTAAAATGAACTGAATCGGCCAACACGCTTTTTCTTACTTTACACAATGACGGAATATTACAGACATGAAAAGTTGTATTTCATGTCTTCATCTGCTGGTGGGCCATCATGATAAGAGTATGCATGAATAATATGATGTTAATTTCACCTAAGAAGAGACTTGATGATATCGGTATCAGGTATCAGCCAAATGAGTTGTTCTATATCGGCATACCTGATATCAGCATAAAGCCCAGTATCATGCATCCCCATACTGAATATCCAAAACTGAAACTGAACAAAGTGGTTTGGGGTTTAGTTACTCTTTAAGTGGAGCCGCTCTGCAACACCACCAGAGTGATGTTAACCAGCCTGCTTTATGTTAATAAATAGAGTCCATTACATTACACACTCAGTAGTGTGCCAGTAGCCGAGTGGTTACAGCACATGCAACATAACCGTGATGTTGAGGGTTCAGTTCCAGCCTGAGGAGCGTTGGTGCATGTCATACCTCGCTGTCTGCTGAGTCTACCTCTCCTCTGTCATCTCTCAATGCAAAAAAATAATCTGCAAGAATCTGGAAGAAAAATCAATAAAAATATTCTCTGAGGATCAGTCAGGACATTTTCACTTCTACATTTTGTTCTCAGCATAAACAACTCTGTAAACCTTGCATCAGTCTGAATAGCCTTAAATCTATTTATGACTCATCAGGAATCTCTTCAACTGCTTTTTAAAGGTGATCTTTAAAAAACGTGTGTGAGTGTTTGACAGTGTGTGTGTGTGTGTCCTTGGTTGTGTGTTCAGACTGCTTGTGCTCTGTGTCTGTTGCATTGAATACTTCATAACTTGCTTATCGTTGTTCCTGTAGAGGTGTGGAAGCCCTCCGCTGCTTCTCCATTTGTTCTGGAGCCTCTTAAACTAGTTTGGGCTAAATGTAGTGGATATCCCTCCTACCCCGCCCTGGTGAGTGCGTGTTGGTCCCCTCTGTGTCTCATTACCCATCTGCCCCTCTGCCATCGTGCGTGCTGTAGCTCGTGATTTGTGCTCACAGCCATGCGGGAGCTTCCGGCTGGCCGATCATGGACTGCTTGGTGTGTGTGGAGTCGGCCGCTTCGCTCAGAGCGTTTCCGGCTCGACTCAGCCTTGCATGCTTGTGTCTCTGACTGCGGGCTTCTTCTGTGCGGCTGCCAGGAATTACTCCACACTGTTACTGTGAGGAGGCAGCTTCACTCAGTCTCCATCTCGCTCTGTTTTTTTTTTTTTTCTTCTTCTTTTCCCCGGCCATCACAGATCATGGACCCCAAAGCGCGGAAGACGGGGTGTCAGCACAACGGGGTGGAGCTTCCCCAGCCGCCGCCGGACGTTCTCAGAGCCGGAGAGCGGATGCAGTTCAGGTCCGCAGAGAAACTCTTCCTCGTCCACTTCTTCGACAGCAAGCGCAGCTGGTGAGCAACTCACCGACTGTTAACCGTTTATCGGTTAATCTTCAAGAATATTTTTGACCAGTAAGGCATGTTTGTCAATAGATTAATATTGCAACTATTCAGTTTTCTGCACTGCGCACCACCTGGGTCTGATGGGAGCTAGCTAGCGGCGCCATTCATTCGGCAGGTACTGCTAGTAACGCCATCCTAACCCAACGGTGTTGCTGTGGAAACATTGTGCCCACCCCCTTGTCTCTCCCCAGGTCGCCCCATTGATTAAGTGGCTTCATTTTGAGCTGCAAGCCCCTTTAGCATTGTTAACTATGTTAGCACTGTTAGCTGTGTCAGCTAGGCTAGTGGTGAAAGCGTAGATAACAATGCTGAAGGGGGTTTTGTGGCTCAAAATAAAGCCATGTACTTAGTGGGGCGATCTGGGGGGAAATCAGAGGGTGGCCACTGTGATTCCGCAGCAAGGCATTACCAGCTGTAATTGTGAACAAGCAGCGCTGCTTGTTGGCGCCCACCTCTCCGAGGTAGTGTGTCAGCAAAGCCAACAGAAAATAAAATAAAAGGCAAAACATTTATATCACAAAACATTAAAATCACCACCTCTAAATGGACAGTGCTTTGAAATGCAGCACAAAAGCTCAGAGTCAGTCGAGCACCGGACTAAAAGGAAAGACCTCTTGAATTTTGTGTCATCTGTTGTTGTTTTACGTTCGATTTTTTTTTTTTTTAAATAAAAATGAAGTGGTTAGTAAGTGGTTAATGGGCGTCAGGCTATTTAGACCAAAATTACCGAAACTGACGTCGTTAAAAGCCTAGCAGCTGCATTTTGGACACATTTTATTTAACAAAGACAACAGCTGGGGATGAATGTATGAATCCTGCTTTTACATCTCTGACTTTAACTTTGTTTTAAGGCTGCTGTCAGCCTAGAGTGATCTCCTCTGGTCTGAATCAGGGACTCATGTTGTTCCAAAGTTGTATAATTGCCTAGAGTTGGTTCGTGTTCTCACGGCAGCATTTACAAGAGGACCAGATCAAATGCCTTGTGTGAGAAAGCTGCTCTTGATTGGTCAGAATTTCCATGTGGGAAAAATCCAGGAAGTAAAGCAAACGTTGAAGAAGAGTACACTTGCAAGATAAATGTGACACTTTCTAATGTCACAATGGAGGGACAACTACGCAGGTTGATTTTAGCGCTGCTCATCGTGGACTATATTGCTGTCATTGTTCATTTTAGTCAAACCATACAGTTTGAAAACGAGGCGCGGCTCCAACTAGAAAACAATGTTTTGATGCATTGGATGTGCTGAATGTGCATATTAAGGCAGTACAGGAGGAGGTGCACATTAATAATCCTCCAGGACTGTAACATGCTCATGTTTAACCCAAACAATGTGTCATGTGACTGCAGTTGCTTCACATCCAGGTCAGAACACCTTCTCACCACAAACCAACCGCACCAGAGTTCCTTTGGAACCAGACTGAGACCGCCTCTTCAAGAACGTCTCAGTCCGGTTGTTTTGGTGCACACCTGAGTGTGATTGCTGTGTTCACACCTGCCCAAACGAACCGCACTGAGGGGGCAAATGAACTTGAGTTTGATTGAACTGAACCAAACAGGGCAGGTGTGAAAGCACCCTCAGATGATAAAGGTCAACACAGTGATTAATTCAGTACAACTGGGCGTTCGTCTCAGGTCAGAATTTTACCAAACATCTGATCGACTGTGTGGAATAATTTTGTCTTTTTCTTTAAAACAAACAAAGATAATCCTCAGTTTTGTCTTTTATTTAGAAAGAGATATTTCTGGCTCTTCAGTCACAGTTTAATGCACTGAAACAGTCACTCACAGGACCGGGAACGACAAATGTACCATTATCATAAATGTGGTAATAAATGATAAATTTACATTATATTTATTACGTAACCTTTTAAATGTTCCATCTTTTTTTTTAAGATATTTTTGGGGCTTTTGAGCCTTTAATGTAAAGAACAGACAAGCATGAAAGGGGGAGAGAGAGGGGATGACATGCAGCAAAGGGCCACAGGCTGGAGTCGAACCCGGGCCGCTGCGGCAACAGCCTTGTACATGGGGCGCCTGCTCTACCACTAAGCCACCAGCGCCCCGAAAATATATGTTCCATCTTAAGTAATGATAAAAACACTTAATGTAGCATGTTTCATATGAAAAGGTGCTTCACAAAATGTAGGAGGATCATTAAAAAACAGCTGAAAGGATAAAAAAAAAAAAAGACAAATTGTAGAGATTCAACGGCAAAAAACGTTGTAGTAAAAGATGCTAATCCGTACTGTGGGCCAGTTAAAAATGTAGCAAACTGAGGAGCAGGTGACATCAACGTCGTATTCGTCAGGAACATAAACTGTGAGGTCATTGATGTCATCAAGAAGCAGCTTTCTCTCCATCTGGTTCCACCCTGACCTCTCGTCTCCTCTCTCCTCAGGCAATGGCTTCCTAGATCCAAGATGGCTCCCTTCGGGGTCAACCAGACGCTTGACAAAATCAAGCTGACGGAGGCTCGCTCCTCCTGCATCCGAAAAGCTGTGCAGCTCGCCTTCGACCGAGCCATGATCCACCTGAACCGTGTGAGCGGCAAGCTGGAGCCGAGCGCCGGCCTCGCCGCCACGGACTGAACCTCCTCCTCCTTCTTCTCCTCTTCCTCCCACCACCTCTCCCATCATCCATCTCTCCTCTTTCAGCTTTTTGTTTCGAACACCATCATCACAGCAGAGATGCACAGTTTCTGCCTCATACGCACAACAACAAACACACACGCTCATTGTCATGTTTACCAATTCCTGCAAACTGGAACCGAATCGTTTTCACGTCTCCCCGCACATCTGCCCCCGCCCCCACCCCGTCCGAATACTGTAGCTTGTGACGGCCATCTAGTTTTGTCAAAGAGCTATGCAACGAAGACGACTCGGTTAGCGGGTGCAAAAAGTTGAACGAGAAAAAAAACAAGTCAAACCTGGGCTGTGAGGACTGAAAAATCACGGGTCTAAACCTGTTGAATGTGTCAGATTTGACCTCTGACCTCCTTAAATGTGCTGCAAGACTGCTGCAACAATCTCACTGCCATGAAAATGTCCATCAGTGTGTGTGTGTGTGACTGCAGCAGCTCCTGTAAATATCCTGTACAAGGCCTGACACTAATTTATTCACTCCCTCAGTTTGTTTTGGTACATTTGGTGTTCAGATATTTATACAGTCGGAGGTGACGATCCACTGACGGTGTCGGTGTTTCTGCTGGTGCTATCTCTACACAGAGAAAAAAACAAACATGCATACTGTAATGAACATTTTGATTTCAGCTCCTTTTTTTTACGGTTTTTGTAAGTTATTGAGTTCTCAAGCTTCAAGTTCTCTCGTCTTTGGCATTAACTTTTTGTGTGTGTTTGCATCTTTTTTTTTTTTTTACCTGAATGTTTTTACTGGACTACTTTTTTTTTTGTTTGTACATATTTATATAAAATCTATATAGATGCTCTCAAAGTTTAAAATGCCTGAAGTGCATCATTCACACCGAAACCAAAAAAATCTGCTGCCCACACGTTTCCCACTAATGTGTTTGGTTTTTTTTACAGTTTGTTTTTCAGGTTTTCAGCCTTTTTGTTTGTGTGCTGTGATGAGTTCAAAGTCTTCTGTCAAACGTCACAAAATCATCTTTTCCACCTGAACTGAACTACAGTCGGCTGTAGGAGAGAAGAGAATGTGCCTGTACTAATTTATTGTAAAGCAGAAAATGTATATGCATTACTTTATAGAGAGAGTATTGTAAGAAAAATACTACGGGCACACGAGGAGCCAGATGTAGAGGCCCCTCCTCTTCCTTTGTTGTTACGTGAGTTTTTTTTTTTACTTTTTGGATTGATAGCATTAAATCTGAGAGGTGAGGTGATAGTGTTTGATGTTTTATTTTGGCAGGGTAGCGATGGGTAGACTTCCTGTTTTGTTTGGCCCTTGGATGTGGATGTTGTGTGTAAATAGATTTGGTACTTTAGCTGATTCTCTGGGAAAAACCACAGTTATAGCCAACGGGAGTGGAAACCAGCCGTCAGCAGGCCGGTGGGATTTTTATACTAAAACACTGAAAAATTAAAATATGTTATTGAATCACTGATTTAACGTCTCCTGGTTTTTATTATTGTTTTATTAATAATAATAATAATAATACATTTTATTCATGAAGTGCTTTTCAAAGTTCTCAAAGTCGCTTTACAGAAACGGTTAAAACACATCAAAAAACAATTATCAGCAAAAAACATTGAAGACAAGGAGGAAATAGCAGTGGGAGTGAAAAACAAATAAATGAATAAAAAGTAGCTAAACATTAAAAGCAGAACGGAACAGGTGAGTTTTTAGTAGTGATTTGAATGATGGGAGGTCAGTGCAGTCACAGATGTGTTTTGGGAGGGAGTTCCAGAGCGTGGGGGCAGCAACAGAGAAAGCTCTGTCCCCCCCAGGTTTTCAATACATTTTATATCTAGGTTTGATCTTTTATTTTGTATTAATATTTCATTTTTATTGCCTTTTTTCCAGTTTCCATTGTATTTAAATATGTATTTATTAATTACTATACTTACTATAGTTACCTTATTCTGTTTTTCAGTGTTAATTATCCTGATTTAATTTCTAAATTTCATTTAAGTTTTTGGTCAATTTTCTTTACCTTTATTTTTATCATTCCGGTTAAATTTGAATCAGCTGGTTTCACTTTATTTATTTTTTTATTATTGAAACCTATTTTGGTAATTTTAATAAAACTTTTAAGTTTAGTCAGAATTTAAAGAAACCCTTGTTGAATATAACTTTTATTTACTTTTTTTTTTATCATTATCCCAGTTAATTTTATTCTGCCTTGGTTTAATTAATTTTCTTAATTTTTTATTAAAATTCTTTAAAGAAACTGTTGTTTAATATAATTATTTTATTTTTCTTTTATTCTTTTTTTATATTATTCTTTCCATTATCACAGTTAGATTTTATTCCATCTTGGTTTTACTTAATTTTTTTTAAATTTATTTTTTGGTAAATTCAAATTAATTTGACAATTTTTATTTTAATTATGAAGCCTGCTACTTATAGATGTGACATGCACAGGCATAATTATGACATACTTCAAAACACATCATGCACTAATAAACTGTACAGAAAGAAGCAAAAGTAAAACTACAATTACAAAAATTCAAATGTAAAGAAACTGCCATTCAGCCACAATGAAATGAACCCACTAAACACTTTTCCATGGAAAAATAAATCTTAAAATAATATTAATAATAAAATTAAACAGTTCACCCAATTTAAAAAGGTCTTGGCTTCACATGAGGATAATAATAGATAAATGAAAAACTAAACACTTAACTGCATCTCAACAGAAGGGCCTCAACAACAGTAAACTTATGACCAGCTAACCCTCATATCTAGCTGACCACAGGGTGGCGCTGTTGTTCTGTCTGTGAAACAGCTGACGCTGCAGAAAAGGAGAGCGAACACTGCAGTGTCAGGAAGACAGAACAAATTTCTACTAGATTATGTAAATCAGGTGTTTTCAAAGTCCGACACTGATCCCCCCCGACAACCAGACAAACCTCAGACAATTAGCACCCCAGCTGGTGTGTAAACAGGAAGTATAATGGAGTCATGGAGTCACAAATGCTTTAACCTGTAGTTCTTTACATTTTGGTAAACTGGAACATTAAAGGTTTGCAGAATTAGCAGGTCCTGTTTGCTGTCATGTTTCCTCCCATTCTTCCTGTGTGAAACTGCTCAAGCTGTCAGCTTGTGAGCAGCATATTCCTCAAGTCCAGCCACAAATCCTTGATTGGATTCAGATCTGGACTCCAACTGGGCCGCTGCACCACATCGTAATCATTGTTTAGAAACCAATCCTGTAAGTTTGGCTTTCACGGTGCAGGTTTCTCACAGACTGCTTCAGGTTTTCTTCCAGGATCTTCAGTCTTTTGGTGGCATTCATTTTACCCTCACAAGCCTTCAGTGTCTGCTGAGGAGAAGAATCCGTACGGTCTGGTGCTGCCGCCACCACGCTCCATGGGCACTGTGTGTTTATGATGATGATTATGATGATGTTTCCTTTAACGGTGGCTTTCGTCTTTGCTGCTCTGGAATAAGCTGCGACTGTATAGGAGGAGGAGCTCAGATATCCAGGAGGAGAACTACGGTTTCTTCATGCTCGAATTGAGGCGGTTTAGCAGCCGATGAGATCTCCTCCTGGACGTCTCCCGTCAGAGATAAATCAACAGCTGTCGTCCGTGTTCTTTTCTTTGTCATGCTTTCTTGTTCTTGTTGTTCACAAAAGAGTCATGACAGGCTTGACATTTAACACAGCAGTGTTGGCCTTTAATGTGACATAAAACATACACGTCAGCAGCATTTCATATACATTAATAATGGCATTAACACAGCAATAACTGTCATTTACTTTCACACCGTGTCCTAACTGGATGGGACACGAGCAAACGTCAATGACAAAATCAGTTTGACTGCATTGTTTTCTGCTGGACTGTCCTGTCTGTGAGCAGCACGATGCAGCACGATGCAGCACGATGCAGCATGATGCAGCACGCTGCTTTGAGCTGAACTTTTGTTGAACGCCACATTTCTATTTTTATTCTGTTGCTCATGTTCAAGAGCTGCAATGGACAAAGACCAGCTGATTCACAAGGTTTTATCTACATGAAACCTCCTTATTTCACTACAAAAACCTAAATATGTTGGTATCTTTCAGGAAGGAGATCGCCAAGAAGATGATGTGTGTAGTTTTGTGTAGTTTTTCTTCTGCTAGTGTCCTTGTCACTACTGGTAGCATGAGACTACCTGTGCAGCCCAATCAGGTTGCACAAGTAGTCCAGCTCCTCCAGGATGGCACATCCATACGAAGGTTTGCTGTGTCTCCCAGCACAGTCTCAAAAGCATGGAGGAGACACCAGGAGACCGGCTGTAACACCAGGAGAGCTGGACAGGGCCATAGAAGGGCATCAACCCAGCAGCAGGACCGGTATCTGCTCCTTTGTGTGAGGAGAAACAGGAGGAGCACTACCAGAGCCCTACAACATGACCTCCAGCAGGCTACTGGTGTGCATGTTTCTGACCACACTGTCAGAACCAGACTCCATGAGGGTGGCATGAGGGCCCCACGTCCTCTAGTGGGACCTGTGCTCACAGCCCAGCACCGTGCAGCTCCATCATTCACCAGAGAACACCAGAACTGGCAGGTCCACCACTGGCGCCCCGTTCTCTTCACAGATGAGAGCAGGTTCACACTGAGCACATGTGACAGGCGTGAAAGAGTCTGGAGACGCCGTGGTGAACGTTATGCTGCCTGTGACAT